TGACTCTCCTAGTGGAATGTCCTGGAAAAGTTTTCTAGCGCTGCTAAGAATAACGTTGGTGCATCATCTTCTCAGACGTCAAATTCTATTTTTAATTTGCATGAGCTTTCGTAAAGTTTTACACTAGCAGTGCATTCTTGTAAATCCTGGCGATGAGGTATCTGTGTCCTTTCTCGATTCTCTAGCTCCTTAAAGAACCCAGTACGGAACGGATGCAGACTAAGTGCATAGTCCGGATCCCGTGCAACAGTCTATTGGAATGCCTGAGAACATGTGATCTATGACTAGTTGCTGCGGGGCCATTTAATCACTGTATTCTGATAGCAGGTGCTGCGTCAGAGTTAACGGCGTTAAGTCGAAACCATTCAATTCGCACTGGTCTCCGCCAAGGTTGCGTCCTGTCCCGTATTCTGATTGTGTCGTATCTGGATAGAATGGTCAGGAGCAGCCAATGAGATGAGTGTATCGGTGTAGGGAATGTGAAGTCGAAAAGGTTGCTGTTTGCAGACGACCTTGTTTTATTAGCATCTTCTGAAACTGGTCTACAATGCTCCGTGGAAAGGTTCACAGCCGAGTGCAACCAGGCCGGCAGGCGCTGGAACATCTGAAACTAAAAGCCTAGTGCTTTCTCTTTCTCCTGCCCGTTGCTCTCTTCAGACAAACAGAGACGCAGTGGAACAGGTAGAGAAGTTCAACTACCTCGAAATCGTGTTTACTGGTTGTGGAAAATTTGAGGAAGAGGTCAACCGGCGGATTGGAGTAACCAGTGGCATTCTGGGCGAACTAGCCCGAACCGCAGAAACTAAAGCAGAACTGAGTCGATGTTCAAGTCGAACATCATTCTCATGCTTACATACGGTCATGAATCGTGGACGATGACTGAAAAACTTCGATCCTGAATACAAGCGGCCGAAATGGGCTTTGTGTGACGAATCGCTGGATTCACGCGGCTAGACGTACGCCGTAGTATGGATGTCTGACAGAGCCTTGGTGTGCATTCGCCTCTTCTCGCGATTGACAGGTCACAGCTGCTCTGGTTTTGGTGCCCTTTGCGACTGCTTTCCGTAGAGAAGGCGAAGCAGCTACTACTTGTTCGATTGACGGGCCAGAGTCATAGGCGGCGACAACCGGAAACCGGATGACTGCTCCAGACTCAGGTTATCTTGTGCTGAAACTCGAACAGTGACACAAATTCGTCACTGCTCGAGTCATTGCCTTGCGCCTCTGCCCCCACGACCCGAAACTTTAAGCGGTCATCGAAAATGAATGACGCCTGAAAGAAAGTAATTACCGAACGAAACCCCGTTGATGTACGTCAGCATCGAAGGTTCCTTCATGAAGCAACCGACGCGGAATATCTCTTCGTGGTAGCAAGGCATTCCTAAGTCGAACACTAGACGACCTGCGCCCTTGAATTCCACTTCGTCTATCAGCAGTGAATGAATGATCAGGTTCTTGGCGACTTTTCGGTCATCATGGTGGCTCTCCTTCGGCCTGCACAATACGTAACACGTAATGTTCAAGCCTTGTCCACTCTTAGCCACAGCCAGCCGAAACTTGATACTTGTCCAGCTGTGGCCATTGTTTGGAGCGACTTTGACGTACTGGCCAGCGTAATAGTGAATTTGCTGTTCCTCGCCGTTGACCATGGTCACCTGTACGAGGGACAGGTATTCTTCTAAAACAACATGCTGAAGTACTCCTCTTGTTGTATACAGCATTAGTGAGCAAGTGTAGTGAGAGTAGTGAGAAACATACACGCATAACTATGTCAGGCGTGGCTTTGCGTTCACAGTTTGCATCCTCTCACGAACAGCTTTTTACCTGTTCGTGAGAGGATAAAGAGAGAAGCCATTAGAACTCGTTAACACACACGAAACTCTGATTAATTAGAGAGTGAATGACCGACTCACTCAATGAAAATACTGTCAAACTCCGGCTTTCTTATCTTTTATGATATCAACGCGGTTTTGTTGCGAAGCAGTTTGCGAAGTAGTGACAAAGGAAGAAAAGTTTGTAACCATTGGAATATCAGTCTTCCTCATACTTTCATGAAGAGGCCATTTCCGCCGCCCTTCCTTTCATGAAGTGTTTGGTAGAATGCCGATCTCAATTTCCATTCCATCAGCCATAAGTGTAATGGGTAGTGTCCATTTTCCATTCCGCAGGGGCACTCATTTATGAACTTTGGAAAGGGAAAGGCAACTGATCCAGACAGAGGATCGAACCTGCGACCGCAAAGTTCTGAGTCAGAAATTCTGCCTACTGAATAACCTTACTCTTAGCGTTCAGTAATTCTAATCACAGCATAAGATGATTGCACCTCAACATTCTCAGAATTAAACTGACAACTAGCGAATTCACAGTATAATTTAAAAGGGGGAAGATAATACTCATATGCGTGAAGGCAACTCGTATGAATTCTATTTTTCCACGCAGCATATGAATTTTATTGACATGACTGTGAACGTCTTCAACTATACTGAATTCGATTTCACGGTAATAATGTCAAGCTCAATGTTTTAATCGAGTTAACTTATCTGTATCTCGTGGGAGGACTTGATGCTGCTATCCAGCACGAGTAGTTGAAGTTCCTTCAGTGGCATTTTTGTCACGGTTCAGGCCCAAAGAAAAGAGCTCCTTTGAACTCCCGTTGTTTGAAATCAGTTTCTCAGCATACTTCCTTCGCTGCCTGCCAATCGGGTTTCACAACCTGCTGAGACTGTGGGGCTTCGGTATGCAGAATCGTCGAAATTTTTTGCGTACAGCCTTAACGAGAGCCGGATCTTTAACCTTTCCCTTTCAAAGTCTGACTGCTATCACCACCATCATTGTTTTAGTGCCTATTCAGGTTGCGTATGCGTACCTTTCTTTCGTTTCTGAGCACCGTTGCTGTTTCTTCTACACGACTCCCACCATTGTTGCGGGAAATCGAATGTAGATATAGCCATTATGGATAATGACACCACAATTATGAAGTTACCAGAAATTTAACGAAAGTTGCCTGTCACACAAATGCCGCTCACTCGTGCAAATCTAGCAGGCCATGCACACCTTGCTAAAAGTTATGTTCTCATGGATTTACCATGACAGCACCCGAGGAAGGGGGGGGGTCTCCGATTTGGTCACGCGTTCGAGAAAAAAAATGCATTAAACAGCCAGCCCGTCGTTGAAGACAACTTTTGTCGAGATAACTTTGGTTGATAAGTTTTGTACTATCAGTCACTTGTAACGCGTGATAGAAAATAAAGCTGTATGATCGGGCAGAAGCGCATCTCATCCTCACGTGCAGACAAATCTTGAAGAGGCTGCCGGGATAGAAACTCACCGCAGAATACCCGCTCGGCGCGCAGCTGCACAAATGTAAAGGAGGTAGCTATCCAAACGGTTGCAAACTTTTCTATGCATTTCTTTTCCGAAGTCTGTTTGTAAATAACAGCCTTCTTCCCTCGATATGATTGTTGTGACGATTAACATTCTCAGGCTTAATCTGTTTGTTAAACGGTGACCACAAAAAGGACGAGGTAAAAGTACTTACGGGGAGAAGAACTTGAGGATAAGTAAGCGACATATTTGGTCATCTTTCTTTCACAAATCGGGAGGCATCTGCCGAAAGGATAGCACGCATACTTCCACATCATGAAGCTTGCCTCGCACAGAAAGGTTGGTATTTCATCGACACATTTCAAACGGTCATCGTCGCTCTTGTCGACCAAGCAATACTGACCAACTTTACATTTATTCAATCCATCAGAGAAGCTCGTCAACGTATTACCTGGAACGGGTTACATGAAAGAAGTTAGAAAATTACGCATAAAGGAAGCATGGTGATAAGTAATAGATTAGAATATCTCGAATGAGCTGATTGACCCAGATTTTGTGCAGGTACAAGAATATTAAAAAAAAAATACGCCAACGCGGAGCTATGCCGTGGCAATACATTCGTTACATGCTCTTTAAGTCAACCTGAGAAACTTCCTCACCCCATATGATCTTATATGTTAAATATCGAAACAATTTCGAATTTTAATCTTTTGATATTTCGTTTAGGTAACAATTAGGAAACAAAAGGTTATCGTAAATCCACTAAAACAGACAAGTACCAAGTTTCATTCCAACAGCCATACAGAACAGTGGTGAACTCTTCGGGCCATCTTTGTACCACTGAAAAGAAATCGTTGTGAGGCAGAGTTGAACAGTGTAAAAGAGGCAAGTGACAACTGTCAAGGAGCTATTAGGACGAAAAAAAGACGGACGACCGTCGACTAGTTTGGAAGCTAAATGGTCTCAAGAAAAAAGCTAGCTTGCCAAACGCGACAGCCAAAAGGAATAACCAATCAACTACGGAAAGAGAAGGTAGTGTTCTGGCAGACAGAGGCTGAAATAGCGGAAAAAACCGTTAAACAAAATAAAAATGATTTTGCTCTAAGGAATGTTCATCGCTTCTTCGGCAAAGCTGATCGATTGGCATCTAATAGAAAGATGTTGACAATCTCAAGTCCGATCCTACACAAACTGTATAAACAGGGAAAAGGAGTTCCGAATCGCTGCCTAAACTCGGCCGTGATTATAAAGCAGACTTTTTGTGCCAGGAAAATGGATGAATGTCGACTAAGGTCCTGCTATTTATGAAAACTTGATCGAAGCATGAAGTCAACTGAAGAACGTCATTGCAACAGGAATTTATGCAGTACGACTAGAGATAATTAATGAGTCTCCAAGAAACGGAGTACTGGAGTCAATGACTCTTTTCTGGAATTGTATGTCAGAAAAAACTTTAAACGACTGAGCAAATACAGCTGTTTTTCTGATTTTTGAGAAAGGTTGTTGCACGGATCCAAACTACCTTAGCATAAGTCTGCTATCTGGCCTGCTCAAGCCTAAGTGTGTATTATTGTGGTCAAAAAATGGACAACATAGAGGGTTTCTGCATCAAAAAAACAGGATGCCACTCAAGCGTATTTGCTTTTTTTATCGATTTCACTGAAGCGTTTTACTTCAGAGCTACCTTTAGAAAATCAGTGAACACTGCAGAATCCCACCAACCTTTTTCA